TGCTGCGTCTTTTAATAATTTATCTAATGTTATTAATAATGATTTTATTGTCTATCAATACTATTAAGTATTAAATAAATTTAATAAAACGCATATTGCACTCGTTTTAATATGGTTTTTAATGATATTATTCCACAGAAAGAAAATGTAAAAAAGGTACGTTATAAAAACTACGTAAAATGATTGTTTATTATTCTTTCTTGAATGCGTTTTGCTGCAGATGATGGTGAATCATTTGATACGACGTTTATGGCGCTCCGACAATCCGTTAAAGGCATCATATCGAGCCATATTCGCAAAAAAACGTAACCCTCATTTTAACCGATTTTTGTTTTATTTTATAGATCAATAGTTCTCCATAATATACATCATCTCTAAAAATTTGGTGGCTGTAGATTTAATTTTACAACAAAAACAAATTTTATCGTAAACACATGTAATCACTTTGTTTACATTTTTTGATAAACGCGCGTGTGGTTTACATTTATTTCCCCTTTTATTAAAATAAAAGAAACATTAAAAAACAAAACAATTATTTTGTTATTTATTAGAAATTAGTACTTTGGAAGCTTTTAGATAACATGTCAATGGTATATATGTGATTTTAGTAAAAAACTAGTAACATTTTCGTTAAGTTTACCTATAAATATAAATTGCACATTCTTAGTTATATCTTGAGTATAGTGTGGAACTTTTTTGTTAGTTACGCCTTTTTGCGTTTTAGCTAACGATATATCGCACCACCAAATAATCGGTATTCTGGGAATTTCTGGCTCTTTTTTAAACTAAATTGACTGTATTTTAGTACATAAACATCCATTGGGTAGCAAATCTCCTTACCAAAAATATTCGATATGGATCCACTTTTTGGATAGCCCCAGTACTCAACAGTACTCCCCATTATTCGGCATTTTGGAACTTTGTTCATTCATCTTCCTAATATAACTAATCAATATTAACATTTTATCATGGGGATTTAAGCCACGTTTTTCAACCAGATTAGTAGTTTGAACTATAATTTGGTAACAAATCTTCCTACCAAATATTATCAATATTGGTCCATTTTTTAGGAAAGCCTCTATATAATTTCTTACATTTTTTATTTTAGGGAGTGAGTGAATTGTCATTAACATAGTATTGAGAATTCAAATTATGTAACAAATCTTCGAGCCGAAAATTAATAATATCGACACATTTTTTGGATAGCCCCATATAACGTTACTCTCCATTATATTGTTAGGAATGTGCTCTCATTTGTGCTAAATCTACTAAAACATTTTCGTGGCATAACCCGTCATATCTCTAAAGGCAAACTTAACGAAAATGTTACTAGTTTTTTACTAAAATCGCATATATACCATTGACATGTTATCTAAAAGCTTCCAAAGTACTAATTTCTAATAAATAAAAAATTAATTGTTTTGTTTTTTAATGTTTCTTTTATTTTAATAAAAGGGAAAATAAATGTAACCCACACGCGCGTTTATCAAAAAATGTAAACAAAGTGATTACATGTGTTTACGATAAAATTTGTTTTTGTTGTAAAATTATAACGGTAAAATCTACAGCCACCAAATTTTTAGAGATGATGTATATTATGGAGAACTATTGATCTATAAAATAAAACAAAAATCGGTTATGATGACGGTTACGTTTTTTGGCGAATATGGCTCGATATGATGCCTTTAACGGATTGTCGGAGCGCCATAAACGTCGTATCAAATGATTCACCATCATCTGCAACAAAACGCATTCAAGAAAGAATAATAAACAATCATTTTACGTAGTTTTTATAATGTACCTTTTTTACATTTTCTTTCTGTGGAATAATATCATTAAAAACCATATTAAAACGTATGCAATACGCGTTTTATTAAATTTATTTAATACTTAATAGTATTGATAGACAATAAAATCATTATTAATAACATTAGATAACTTATTAAAAGACGCAGCACATGGCATAATTATTGAAGGAAGTCTCATTTGATAATGACAAACCTTTTTTAACATGGAATTCATATATCAATTTCAAATAAAATGAAAAATAAATTCCATGGTATATTCAGTAAGGAAGCCGCATAGGCGAATTTCTACAACAAACACCGATTGTTGTATTTTGATATGTCAAAAATATTTTGCCAAAACAAAAAAATTTAATAAAAGTATTGTCAAACAAGCTCTTAAAAATTCGGAGATTTTCAATTATAGTTTTGTTTTTTTAATTTTTTGGTTCTACATTACAACAATAGTTTTGACATTTATTTGCACCAACAGCCGAGCCGATGCGGCTACCTTATTAAATATACATTGATAAATTCCATAAAAATTTATAAACATATGTCGATTGTCATATTTTCAAAAAATTAAACAAAAGCTGAGCATTGCTCTCAACATTTAACCATGGTTGTTACAAATTATATTTATAAGTTTCAGAAACAGGGAACTTCAAAATATTTATAATTATAAATAATTTAGCAATTTTTGCCACTGAACACATTATATGCGTACATTTTGAAAGAAGAAACTTTCATTTAAATTTTGAAAGCTGAATCCTATCATGGGCAAATTTATGAAAATGAAAACATATGACTGCATGAGACTACCTTGTATAATTATGCCATGGACGCAGCACATGCTTTATGGCCCAAAGTTTTGTGCTTTGCTGCTAGCAGCATTAGATTTTGCCAACATCTAAGTATAGAGAAGAAAATTAATTAGGTAAAGCTTCCTGTTTAGTACACCTTACCTTGAATGATTTAGTCTGCTGATTTGTAATATCTAAGAATTTACCCTGTAATCCTTCCCTTTCCTCATATTTTCTTTTTGACCCACGCGGTGTCTTCTTTTTTCTTGATTCATTTTCTACTTCGAATACAGTATATATAGGAGACTTTTCTTGAGAAATGTGTTTGCCGTCTTCCAAAAGTATCTGTAGATCCTGTTTAAAATTTATAATTTGTTATGTCAATAATTTTAATTTCCAGATCCGCCATCGGTTCTAAAGAAATTAGAATGTTCCCAGTAAGTGCTTATTGTCTTTTTCTGACCCGATATGTTTGACAGGTTCTACTTTTCAAGTGCCGTCAAACAGGATTTCACTTCGGGGGGCCCACTGAAAACCAAAAAATGGTTATCCTACACCATCGTTACTATTGAATAGTTCTACGACTTTTAAGGATTTATAACGGAAATTCGTTCACAAAGTGAGAGCTTTTCCGTTTTCATACTATTTTATTTAAAATTCATTGCAAATAAATGCGATGATTAAATAAAAATTGAGAGATTTAATTCTTTAACGTTATAGAATTTGAACGACCAGGAATAAAAAAACATATCATCATATTGTTTTACTATGCATTTCACTTTATAATATATATATATATATATATATATGCGTTCCCAATTTTCCTGTCGGGTGATTTTTAAAAACATAATTTGTCAAATTCATATTGACACTAGTATTACGTTGGAATCAAATCATGTAAACATGTAAGCTTTCCTTAATATAAATTGGGACTGCCAGGGTGTATTTCTGGATTTCATAAAACGAGTCGATTTAAAATGGCTTGTTAAACAGGTAGTCCATTTAGCAAAGCTGACTATTCGATTAACTGTCAAAGTGAGTAGTTTCTACATAAGTTCGATGTGCAAGTTGTCAACCATAAGAAATATGGTAAGTAAGTAATAAAATTTAAGTAAGTATTTTTAGTAATAAAATTTATTGAGTCTTCTTTCTTTTCGTTTACAATTTGTTGTACATACTTATCTATAACAACAATATATCGCAAAAATATAATCGTTTTCCTTCGCTGTACGCTGACATTCGTATAGGCTACTCGCCAAAATGAATTAGAAAAAATGCTGTATAAACAAACTATTGTGAAAGTGGAAGTTTAGATTTGCTCGCGATCTGTGTTTTGACTTGCAGAGCGAAAGACTGCAAAAAACCTAAACATTAATCAATACTTAAACATTAATATAATCAACAAAAAATGTTTTAAAACGATGTGATAAATTGTAAAAGTATCATAAGAAATATATCTAGATACAATTTGACAGATGGTCGGGTAAAGAACAAATGTTTTTGTTTTGATCTCCATGATGTAAAATATGTAAAAGTGCGTTTAGATTTACAAAATCTACTCGACCTCAAATATCAATTCCATAAAGTATACGTCAAGTATAATTTAATGGATTTGTGAATGTGAATGACGTATAGACTATGGAATTGACGTTTGGGATCGAATGGATTTATAAGTCTAAACACGCTCTAATGATCTTTTATGCGGTGTACACACTAGCATTTTTGAATGGCACTCTTGCCCAAATTTTGCTTGTTTGATAGTGTGGGCTCACATGTTTGTCATTCATCAGGCAACCACAAAAATATTTATGGTTGTTGGACAGTCAGTAATCGATAAAAAAGCTGACAGTCAAAAATGATAGTGTGTACACCGCTTTACATCATGTCTGTTCCAAAAACTGCAAGAATGTACAATTTTGTACTACGATAACGGCTACCCTATTACATATGAATTGATACCACAATATCACCTATACAATATAGGACCTATAGAGCCCTGTCCCTGTAAGAAAATAACGGCGGTAGTTGGTCGTCGCTAAATTTGATATTCATTGCACTTACGCCGTTGATAATACTATGACTCGGTTCTCTGTTTCTTGCTACTTACGATTAGAATCATATTGTTTTTATTTGGAAATTGCATTATAGTCGTTTACAAAATTGCAAAATATCAATAAGATTTTATTAATCGCCCGTGTAGTGTTTCAGATTGAAAAAGGGATATATTTATAATCAAGTTGGAGGACTTGCATCTGCGACATTAATAGTTGTACCCGCAATACATTTCGTTTTTTTCTTCATACATTTCCTGGTGTACGTACTTTTTGCGAAGAACATTGGAATGAAAACAGGAAAAAGTGAAAATAAATGAGAAACACCTTACTGAACAATAATCCTCAAGTTATCGACATCAATGGCTTCAATACAATTTGTCCTACAACCCCTACCTGGAACCGATGAACAATTTATTGACAGGTAAGCACCAAGGAAATGAAAGAGCTGAAATAGCATGTGCTCGCTCATCAGTAGAACAGTAGACTTACTAAGTCTGTGTAAAAACAGCTTGTTATTGTAGAATAGCTAAGTTTGTCGATGCTGATCTGTGAAATAATAGGATATAGTTCAGTGCAGTTGTACTTATTAAATCTGAAAATTCTGTTTATTAGTGGAATACTGTATGACCATGTGCTGGTATATTTTAGTATAATTTACAAGGATCAGTAAAAGAGGAGGAAGTTGAGTAATACTATTGACACGAAAATATACAGTATTTTTCGGTTAATTGCACATCAACATTTGCACAAATTTTCATTCAATTAACCGAGGAACCAATTATCCGAACCCGCTTAATTGAATAGTTTTGTTCAATTACAGTAATCACGTATAATTGGAACTACTAATGATTTAAAAAAATCCAATGTCAAATACAAATTACGCTTTCTCGAAGTTTTTCCTTTGAAAAAAATGTATTTAAAAAAGGCAGATTATTTTTCAATTATTATTGTGCAATTAACCGGTGAAAAGTAAAAGGAAATTTATTTTTGATGACATGAATTTTGAACCAATTAAGCGGGAAAATCAATTAACAGGATTTAATTATCCGAGAAAATTTACATGTATTTTCCTATAAAATATTTTTTGCACCATCATGTGGTTCAATTAAGCGTGGAAACCAATTAACCGTAGGGTCAATTAACCGAAAAATACTGTATAACTTTTTGATATTTATATCTTGAGAATAATGTGCTCTAGATATGAGCATCATAAAAAATGGTTTATAACTTCGTAATAAATGGAGTGAGGAAGCTAACATGGATATAATTGAAAATACATAAATTACATTTAATATAATACATTTGCAAGTCCTTACAGAGATGTGCACTATGAATTAATGCCGATATAAGGTTAATGTCAAACTTCAGTTTTAATTCTAAACACAATAAACTTAAATTTCAAAGCGATTAGATTGGAGTCCCTAGACCAGACTTAAGCCAACTTAATCGAAGACGATCGAATGTGACTCCAATTACCTTGGAATAATTAGTGGTCGAAATTATTGCCCTGCATATTCAGATGTAGCCGCATCTCCTATGTTCATATGGTAAACAATGTAGTCGTTCACTTATGGCGGATATTTCCATATTGCTCTGCTATAGCTGAGATAGTGATTAAACCTCTCGCATATGTCATGGCTCAGATAATATGATCATTTAGTCATTCGAGTACGTAATGATATAAATGCCGTTCGGTGGGCATGGTATTACAGGAAGGTAGAGGTTAAGAAGTTCCGACACTCTACGGGTCTTTAACTTCTTATTTCTAAATCCGACGTACGACTAGCGTCCACACAAATAATTCACGATCCAAATTCTTTAAACATAGCTTTTATGCATTTAACTTTTGAGGTACGAACCTTAAGCTCTTTTTGATATTTCGAGGAGGATGTTTTAGTTATTTGAGTTTAAATACGACATAAAATATTTTTTGTTTATTTATTCTTCAAATAATAAATTTGACAGTCTACGAAGATTACGAATTCGCCTCCCTGTTAACCTTAGGAATAAACCTTGATCGGGAGTAGCAGTTATTTAGTATTGACTGGTCTATTACCGGGTGGCTAACTTTTAATGTCGAAATACCAACAAGAACAAAATAAAAATATTAAATATCTTTCAGCTTTTAGTCTCAAAAACGTAATGATAACATTGTGCACGAATATTTTGGTTCGAATAAAAACCATTTTTTAAGTATATTTAAATTTTTTATGTTACTTTTAAAATTAATTTGTTAAAGGCCCCATCCACAACGTACTGTGCGGGACAGTTTATTAATTTTTCATACAATAAATTTGACAATCAGTGAAGACTTCGAATTCGCCTCCCGGTATACCTCATTTAACAGGTCAGGATGCAGAGCAGGATGAAAACTCAAAAATGCTCAAATTCTTCAAATAGTGAGGCTTGTGTGAGTCAAACATTTATTTTCTTATACATTTCCTCTGCTATAACTGAGATAGAACTTTTTGAAGGGTTAGCCTTCTTTATGAAGATTTATTTGACAAATATGTAAGAGAATTGACAATTAAAACCTACTGGGTTAACTAAATCGGATTCAATGTAAATGTACTATAACGGAACGGAATGGTGAGAAGGTGAATGTTTTTGTACGCATACGCATTAAATTAGGAACGAGCCTAACGAAAAAATTACTTAATAATAAGTTGGCACAAATTGGAGACTACTTACAAAAAATAAAAATACATTTTTATGATTTCTTTCCTATTTCAGACTCCGCGAGGTTTCGGATAAAGTCAATAAATTTGGCTTTGGAACGCATCGCATATTTGAACAACTCAAGATTCCTGTTAAAGATGTGGTAATTGGACCTAATCATATCGGTGTTTTGTTGGAGGACGGTAAAGCCTTCCGTGTGGCATTCTCAATTAATACGGATCGTTTGGATCTTAGCAAAAATGATTCGACGAAAAGGCAAGTATAAATAATACCAAGTTTAATAGAAATTCGCTTATTTAAAAATTTATTGTTATTATTTATTTAATATCCAGTGATTGTCTTACCATATATAACTAGAAATTTGCTACATCTAAAAATGTTGTAATATCTTTTTTAAATGAAAAACATACGCCGATTTTTCCATGCTTTTTTCTCTTCATTGTTTGTGTTTGTTTTCAACACACGAAAAAAAAAACAATTGTACGTTCTGTTATATTTAAATAATATAATATATAAATTCATATAAATACATGTGATTTAAAGCTCCCAAAAGTTCAATTTAAATTTAAAAATTAAAGAAAAGAGTTATTTCATTTCTATATAAATCTGTCACTTTAGATCTTCCCGGTGTCCTGCCTGATCGACTTGTTTTCTCTAGATCTACCAGGAACACTCAGTTAATTTTCCCGCGCTATTCCACTGGTTTATATGAAAGATCTTTTATTATTCGTTCGTCACGTTTGTGGAATCAACTTCCTGTTGAACTACGACATTTTTCTTTTTCGCGCAGTGTATTTCAACGCAAGTTTGAAGATTTTGCTTTTGTTTTGTTTTGTAGATACGACAATATTCAGTTATTTTGCTTAGATATTACCAACAATAATCTTTACTGCTTTATTTTTAAATGGCTGGGGAGCCTTTTCTGCTATGTAGTTTGTTAATTCAAATCCATATATTAAGTTAGTATATGAACTGTTTAGTTTTAAAATGAATTTAAAAATGCTTTAAAGTTTGTTACTTCGAATTCATAATTTATATTAAGATATATACAGTATAGTTATAAGATACGTTTTATAATGTGAAGTACACTTTTGTAGTTTTGGCATGTTGCGATATTTATTGGCCAGATGGCTTTTTCGTGGCAATAAAATAAAATAAATAAATGCACAAAACAAATTCGAAGATTCATCATCCCCGACACACAATTTTCAATATAGAAGTATTTTATTCATGCAGACTGTCAATAACAATCATTTATTACACTTTCCAAACTAGAAAAATAACTTGAACTACCTTTAGTATGGGTGATACAATTAATTGGTGGAACACATCTACGCACTTATGTGCCCCGATTTATACTATTTATTAGGCATAGGTTTTGAAACCGATTTCCCCCAAAATAACAAAAAAAAAAAAAAAACATCAAAATGTATTTTTGTATACTCAATATTTTAAAATTGCTATAAATTTTTAAAAGAATATAGTTTTTTAAATTAATTTCTAGTCTGTAACGCACATTTTCCAATTTTCATTTATTATTACGCTCAATATTTTAGGTGAGATTGTCAGCGATGATAATTTCATAAACTTCAACAGTGATAATATAAATATCGGAGGTTTCAATGCCCAATCTCTTAATCCTAGCACAACTTCTATATAATTTGATGAAGTGAAAAATGTTTTGAAATCTAATTTGTTACACATTGTGGGCGTGGTTGAAACTTGGTTCAAGTCCTATTTTAGCAACAAATGGTATGTTCCCGTACTGCAAGAATCGACTAGTTTTTACTATTTTTTTCGATATCATAAAGAAAAAAGTGTTTTCGTAGTAAAAATTAGTTGATTCTTGCAGTACGGGAACATACCAAAAGCAATTCAAATACCGGGGTATGTGATATTTCGTAATGATCGTTTAAGCCGTCGTGGAGGCGGCGTTGCTTTATACATTTCTTATGCTTTGAAAACTAAAATTGTTTCTAAAATTTCCGAAACCGTATGTATGTGAAGCTTTTTTTCTGCATGTAAGTTCATGTACATCCAGCTTAATTATTTGTATTGTATACTTGCCCACTTGTGTTATTACTTGTTTGGAATCTGTGGATTATTATTATTAGTAGAAACTTTGACTCCCTTCGGAATCTTCTTTCCAAATGTAATACATCGGCGGTACACAATAATAAACATTAACATAAACGTTAATCTTGAATTTGCGACGATTTTAATAAAAATATCTCATACAAAAATAATGTATCTTCGTAGAATTCGAGATAATGACGCGACAAAGGGACACCGAAGTAGCCCTTTGGGCTAGTGTAGTGTCGTAATTACTTCCACATGGCAACTTCATTCTATGTTATAGAATTATATTTATAATTGCTTTGTATCTATGTTAACATATTCGTAATTGTATTCGTTACTTTTTACATTACTGTTAATTGTAACCAATGTCTGTTTGCGTAGTTACACTTGCATATCATACTTCAACTGCACAACTTCATCAAAGCTTAATACCATCCTTAATAAATAATGAATATAGTATAATCTTATTCAACGCGTGTTTAATTTCAAATATAATACACAACAGCTAGATTGTCACATATGAATATAAATTAAATAGGTTTTACAATGATAGATACGAAGTTTAGTTTCGTTGGAAAGTATTGAATAAAACCGGGATCATTAACCTTGATCTTAATCGAAGCGGAACTAAAATATGTTTGATTTCCACAAAGACATATGAAGATCACACCTAATTCAAAAAAGCAACTTGCAAAGTAGCAACGTGCAAACAACCCAACGGGTTCTTTGAACAAATAACTTTTTCGATCTACTTTGATTTTCTTTCTAAACGTACTTTAAGCTTATAAAAATAGCTCACATTTAGTGTGGTCCATTATATATATATATATATATATATATATATAGAAATAATGTGATATTGATTATTTTATTTATTTTTTTTCAGCGGAAACAACTCTACTAACACTTCATCCAATTCTAAGACGTCTGCCCCAACATCATCCAGACAACTAGCCCGGTCTAGGGCCCGCTTAATGCGGACTACTGGACGTTCTGGTTCTGGTGGCCAAAGCTCAGGATCAAGAAGTACTGGAGTTATTATAGGTGGTACTTCATCCAGTCGTTCACTTGTTACAGTTCCAGCAACATATGTTCCTGAGGAACTGATCTCACAAGCGGAAGTCGTTCTCCAAGGCAAAAGCAGAAATTTAATTATTAGAGAACTACAGGTTAGCTTTGTTCTGAATATATTCTGCTACATGAATTTGTATCAACATTATTTTCGCACAGCGCACTAATCTTGATGTCAACTTGGCTGTTAATAACTTGCTTTCAAGAGACGATGAGGATGCAGAAGATACAGAGGAAGGTGGTGATAATTACGTTCCTGATGATTTAATTTCACTGCTTGACAACGGTTTTCATGGAGAAAACAATAGTGTAATTATAGATCCATCAGATGGGTTGTTTACCGAGGAAATATTTAGTAATTACTCAAGTATTAGAAGGTAATTTACATTACTTAAATACAGTTATAAAAACTTCATTGGGTTTACGTAATACACTTTTACAAACATTTTTAAAAAATTACAAAAAATAAAAATACAAAAATAATTGTATATACATATACATTTTATTTTTATTCACTAGTCTACTATTTGATCGCATACGCAGTGAACGAAATCAATCTAACTCGAATTCTGAAACTAATCAGTCAAGAACTTCTGGTACGGGGAGCGGTGTTTTGTCCGGCACTGGAAGTTTATCGGCACAGATATCTTCAGTTAGTGCAGAAAGGGAGGCCTTTAGTCGTTGGCGGGATCGCCAATGTTATGTTCCAAGAAGATGGTTGAATAAAGATGATTATGTGTGGGACAAAGATGGAGGTGCGACAAATTAACTTTATAAATAATATATTGAGTTAAAGTGTGATTAATTTTTACAGATGCCAAGAAGAAAGATCCAACTTCAATGAGCTCTCCCATTTGGATTTCTGAAGAACTTCAACCCTGGCCGGACAAGAACAATACAATAAAATTTAAAAAAATCGCTGCCCTATATTCAGAATTCATAGCTATTTCTGAGTCAGGAGAACTTCATTTATGGAGATGGGCTGATGCGGAACCATATAAATCTGAGGTATTTATTCATTTATATATTCATGTAATGTAAGAGGCCTCTAAGACCATATAAATATTACGTAATTAACAACAAACCAGAACTTACAACAGTTCGTCAAAAAACATTGAAAACTACATTTATATATATATATATATATATATAAACAAACTTCTGAAAACTTAAATCACTTATCTCATCTGTAATTTGGACCTCTAAATGCCTTTGTAACAGTCAAACTGATATATATATATCAGTTTCTTCAAACCCTACAATTTTTAACTGTAACAACTATGAATTTTGAGAAAATCTCGAAATTGCAGAATGTTTTGTATTTATACCACTACTTATCTAAATACTTTTTACCATCATCATTAAACTATAAACATATATAAATTTGTTTATGTTTTTTCTACAAAATCGAGCAGTCCCTAAAAATCTACGTAGTTTCTCACAACATTACCTAGCCAACGTAGTCGCTGCAGCTCGATACGTCTGACAATGCCGATGTCCTTGAGTACTTGGTACAACTCATAGTTCATTCGACGGCGATATTCACCGTCAACGCAGATCGGCCCATAGATCTTTCGGAGAAATTTTCTCTCAAAAACTCCAAAAGCTGCCTCATCTGCTTGCGTAAGTACCCCATGCTTCAGATCCATATAACAGCACGGGTAGTATCTGCGTCTTGTAGAGTGTGAGTTTGGTCTCCCGGGAGATGGCCTTGTTTCTAAACTGCTTACTTAGACCATAGTAGCATCTGTTGGCCAACACTATCCTTCTCCGAATTTCAAAACTGATGTCATTAGTTTTATTTATGGCGGTACCAAGGTATATAAAATCTTTGACTCGAGGTAGTCAAAGAGGTAGTTCTCAAGTTCCACAGTTGGTCCGAGTCTACTGGACGTCTTGCGCGTTGATACCATCAGCTTGGTCTTCTCGCCGTTTACTGCCAGATCCACTCCTTCTCAATTTGTTCAAAGCAAGGAATGATTAAAATACGCTCTTTCTCACGATTGCTCACGGCAAGAATTCGAATGTTTTCAATTTATTGCGAATGATAAAGTTACAATGAATGAATAAACATTTGCAATCTCTCGCGAATGTTCGCGTTGTACGAAAAAATCACGAACGATAAAAATTCGCTGCAAGCGTCGTCAATTCGTTCGTTCCCGATCATTTGTTGCTGAAGAACATTCTTTTAAAAAACTCAAAAAACAAAATGTAAATGTTAAAAACAACAACAAACAAAAATATCATAAAAAAGTAAACACAGACAGAACGAATGAATGTGTGTGTAGCAGACAGTGTGTGGAATAACAAAACACATGTCCAACAACTATTGAGTTCACGAACGTTTGTTGTTGTTCTTGTTGTTATTTCGAGCATTCGCGAGAATTCGGGAATGTTTGTTTTCATTCGTGAGAGAATATCAAAAAAAATTTCAACCACCAAACGAAACGAACGATCTTTGTTGTGTGCTCTAACTCGTTTGTTATGTGTGTGCGAGCGAACATTATTTGGCGAATGCTTGTTTTGTAAAGAATTTATCGCCATAAATTCATTCGTAAAATAAGCACAAAACGAAGCGAGCGAATTTTTCAATGTTCGTCCCATTATGTCGATGTTATCGGCGTAGGCGAGAAGCATGTGTTGTTTGGTGTACAGAGTGTCATTTCTGTCCACTTTTGCCTCTGGCATGACCTTTTTCAGCAGGATGTTAAAAACGTCTCACGACAAAATGTCACCTTGTCTGAATCCTCATTCCCGAGAGGTCCTTTCCAACATTCATTGCCACTGGAAGTTATACTGCATAGCCGTATTAATTTTGCAGGAATGCCGAACGGAGGCTTTAAACACCTGTGAACGGATAAGAATGTGGAATGCGGCTTTACAGTCGACGAATAGGTGGAATGTGTTGATGTGTTTTTCGTGGGTCTTTTCCAGGATTTGGCGCAAAGTGAAAATATGGTCAATGATGGATTTGCCAGGTTTGAAGCCGCATTGGAATGGTCTAATAATGTCATTGACCATTGACTTCAGTCGTTCACACAGCACGCTGGATAGTACTTTATATGCGATGGGAAGAAGGCTAATTCCTCAATAGTTGGCACATATCGTCTTTTCTACTTTTTTTGTGCACGGGACACAGGATGTTGAGGTTCCAATCATTGGACATGTTGCAGCAAAATCAACACTTGGGTACCAAAGACCACCATCAAAAAGCCCGTGGTACGTTCAGGAGTGTCGTAATGCTACTGATGTGATGCTAGGCAATGCTAGGGCAGTCCTGCAGACAGTAGCAACACGTAGTATGATGGAGAATTATCGGGAGAAACGGAGAGAGGAGAAACGTATTTTCAGAAAAAAAAGAAACAAAAAAAAAAAAGTGAGCGGGAGCAAATCGAGAGTCAGGAGTCAGAACGTATTCCGGAAATTTTACCAACGAGTAAAATACCAAACCGAAGGCTTTGGTGCTGCCACATCCTCCTGTAGAGATAAAGAAGGAAAGGGTCTGTTCTGTTGGTGCTCAAATGAAGCTGATGTAGAAGAACTTCGTTTTTATATGGATTATAGCAATTCGCTCATCTACTGGAGTGAATCTGGAAATGAGGTCATTTATTTTCCTGTTAACCATATCTTATTTACTTACGCTTTGTACATCTTGAGTACATCCACCAAAGCGAAAACTGCTCCTGTTCTGTACAACGTGCGCACATTCAAAGTGCAGATTCGCAGATATGATGAAAAATTTTAAATGAGTGGAAGAAAGTTTTTTTTTATTTTGATGATGAATTCTATCACCATGATTTTTTTTCAACAAAATATAAAAAAAAAAAAATCATGCAAACAAGGCATAAGCGTTGTTCAGATACATTAGCAAATTATAGTTAATTACTGCTTTATAATCATATTGGCTTTGGTATAAATTTAGTAAATTAGATAAATAAATTAGAAATAAGTCACAACTAGTTTCGTTTGAGGGATGCATTTCAAAACCGATTGTTCCATCAGGTGTTCCGCAAAGAAGTCACCTAGGCCCGGTTCTATTTCTATTGTTTGTAATTGATTTGCAGAATTCTCTATTGCATTCCAATTTTCTAATGTATGCAGACGATGTCTAGTTATACATTACCCATCATTCTGTAAAGAAAGCTAATTTACTTCAGCATGATTTAAATAGCCTATTCCAATGGTGCAGATTAAGTTGTATAGACTTAAATTTAAACAAATGTAAACATAAAGTAGATGACTAAATAGCTCGGTTTTATCAACTGTATAATCTTTTATTGTTCTTTGTATTTTAATGGATCCAAAATTAAATTTTGATAATCTTGCTATATCTTTGTTAAAAAAAGCCTATGGTGGTGTCTTAGGATTTATAAAACGATGGACAAAAGAATTATGGCTAGAATGAGAATGATCAACGAATTAAAAAAATTAAGAGATCGAAGAAATATACTATCCCTAAGTGACCACGGGTATGAAAATAGAAGTACGAATTATGTCACAAACGTTTTCATATATTTAATTTCTATAGATTTATACTAAATGTATGTCTCAATAAAGATGCGTTTATGTATGTATAAAGCGCCATTAAAAACGACCTCGTGGTTCCAAGCAGATACACATCACTTCTAACTCCAATAAAAGTGGCAGTTGCTTTTAAATTGCTTAGACAAGGTGGTTATCAACACCAAATTGGCCAATATATGGGCAATATTGCCAATTTTTTAATATTCCATTTTCAAAAAATCAGCTTTTTTGTTTTTGTGGCACATCTATGATTTTTGGTACACATATAGAGAAAAATGTCCTGACTCCGAAACCGTTCGCGATCAAATTTTTGGTTGATGCGCGCAAAAGTTATCGAGGTTTTAATTTTGGGCATAAGAAAAAATCTTAAAATTACGCCGTTTATTATATTGACCAAAAACGTTGATATATATCTTCCTCCGTAAAATAAGAATATGAATATATTATAATAATCACGATAAAGTTGCACATATTCGCGAAATATGAGAAAAATGAAAAAAATATAGCAGATTACATCAATATTTTCAATATATTAATGACATACACACACCTAAAAAATAATTTAAAAATATCTACATAATCTAAACACCATGATGAATCAAATGATATCAAAATCACACAAGTCCGTGTAGCGGTTTCTAAATCACAGCGACAACAAAACAAGATATCGAGGAACAATATTTGTTTTTGGTTCGAAAAAATAATGTCATCATATTTATTTTTTTAATTGTATACAAGAAATTTCAGAAAAAAAATTTGGGGTTATTCTGCTATTTTACCCGAATTTCGCCGAAAAATTGACATATATAATAATAATCACCTTTTGCGTATAAGTATACGCCTTGCGGATTATATCAAGACCCTTCCGATAAATCTTAGAATTCTATAAATAGGAATAAATCTTAAAATAAAATAATATTATAAAATATACATTTTAAATTGCGTGTAAATCGCGTAATTCTCAAAATCATTTGATGCGCATGCGGTTTCAAGGAAGTACTGAAGTTTATCTTCCAATCCATATATATTTTGCGAAATTTCAATTGGAGGCTAAGATGTGCCACACGTTACATTGAAGTACCCAAAAAATCGTAAAACGCGAATAATTCCCGAATACTCCATATGCCATTAAAGCGCATCCGATTTCGGTGTGCACCCTAAAAAAATACATCGATCTATACCGATTTCAATGTGGTCCATTAAGAACCATGGATGTGCCAGCTCACACTATTTTTGAGATAAATTGCGTCTAAATCGCGTAATTCTCAAAATCATTTGATGCGCATGCGGTTTTCAGGAAGTACTGAAGTTTATCTTCCCATCCATGTATATTTTGCGAAATTTCATTTGACGGCTAAGATGTGCCGCACGTTACATTGAAGTACACAAAAAATCGTAAAACGCGAATAATTTCGGAAAACTCCATATGCCATTAACGCGCATCCTATTTCGGTGTGCACCCTAAAAAAATACATCGATCTATA